GAGGCTGCGAGATGCCCAGATCCTCCCCACGTGGTGTTCACCAGCCCATGGAGACATGCAGGTGGTGCTTCTCCAACAACTTTAGGCACAGCAGGAGTTCCTGGAGGATCTTCAGGCCTGTCCTAAAACTCCTTGTATCCACCAGTCAGAGGTTTTCCTTGGAGTTTAGTCCATCGCCTCCACGAGGGTCAGTCCGGTGCCTCACCACTGCTGGAATGGTCCGGGCAGTACCTGGACCACCCTGGGACTGGATGTCCGTTGCGTGCCGGGTGTGCTCCCGGAGGCAGTCCTGATTCCCAGCCACACCACAGTTATACCCAAAACTGAATTTTATCCTTCTATCATACTTACAACTTAAATCCATAGCTGTTGTTAGAGCGGACCCTCAGGAAGGGGTTCCTCTGGGCAGCTCTGGAGGGTTTCCAAATAGTCCTGGAGGGTTTATAGGTATTCCAGGCCGTTGTGGTGGCCAAGGGACACTCGCCTGTCCCGGATGCTCCATCCCTGACCCTGGCTTTGGCGTTACACAAATTAAGGCCAACAAACTGTGCTGCGTAGGGTCAGCGAATTCACCCTTGCCTGCCTGATCTTGGGCGAGGGGAAGGACAGGAGCCTGGTGTCATGTGAGTACCCCGGGCCCCCGGAGCCATGGGACATCCCACATGTTGCTCCCTCCCTCTGCACCCATGACAGCTTCTCTTGGCCAGGCTGGCTGGGACCTCCTGGATTACGGGGCCAGGTTTCCTGAGGTCAGCCGAGTTTGCCTGAAAAAGCTGAGTGGTTTTTGCCCTTTGGTAAGGAGGGCTGGCTCCCCGCCAGGAACCGTGTCCTGGAGTTCGAAGAGCTGGAGAGGTTGTACCTGGAGCCAAGAGTTTGTTCAAGCCCCGAGTGGGTGGGGTGGCCGTGGAACACGCTATAAAGCAGCATTAGGGAGCCGAGCAAACACCGCAAGCAGGAGCAGCGGGAGGAGAAGTGATATGGGAGAGCTTCGTGTCTGCTCTGTTCTGTAGTCCATCGCCTCCACGAGGGTCAGTCCGGTGCCTCACCACTGCTGGAATGGTCCGGGCAGTACCTGGACCACCCTGGGACTGGATGTCCGTTGCGTGCCGGGTGTGCTCCCGGAGGCAGTCCTGATTCCCAGCCACACCACAGTTATACCCAAAACTGAATTTTATCCTTCTATCATACTTACAACTTAAATCCATAGCTGTTGTTAGAGCGGACCCTCAGGAAGGGGTTCCTCTGGGCAGCTCTGGAGGGTTTCCAAATAGTCCTGGAGGGTTTATAGGTATTCCAGGCCGTTGTGGTGGCCAAGGGACACTCGCCTGTCCCGGATGCTCCATCCCTGACCCTGGCTTTGGCGTTACACAAATTAAGGCCAACAAACTGTGCTGCGTAGGGTCAGCGAATTCACCCTTGCCTGCCTGATCTTGGGCGAGGGGAAGGACAGGAGCCTGGTGTCACATGAGGGAGGGTGGCGGTGGGAGGGGACATCTTGGTGCAGGACAGGGGTAATTCTGGCCTGGAAAACTGAGCAGCTCAGGTTTGGTGGAGCAGGGAAGGTTACAAAGAGCAGCTCTCCAGACATTCAGCCCAGGGCATTCCCTGCCCGGGCAGAACACTCGTCTCCCCTTGCGTCATCCCTCGGCCGCTGGGAAAGGTGGATCGTGGGGATGGACCACAGCCAAGAGACTGGGACACAGGCAGAGAATTTCCTCGAGCCAAGGGCTGATGCAAGCCATCGCGGGAAAATACGAGATAACTGAGTAGCAAAAAGCACCTGCAGAGTCAGGGCAAGAGCAGTGCAGCGGTGGACGGAGAAGCATGACAGGGCTTCATGTCCGCTCCCTTCTCGTCACTGGGGCCAACCGGGGGATCGGCCTGGGGCTTGTCCGACATTTCCTGGCGATGACAAACCCACCCAAGTGGGTCTTTGCGACTTGTCGGGACCCCAAGGGAGAGCGGGCACAGGTGAGGCTGGGGGGGGGGGCGGGGGGGGGTGGTGGGGGGGG